TAAATCATAGACTAATGCCCATAAGTATTATCATTTGACATTTATCATTGATTATACATTTATAACCAATGGTATTATATACTGTATATACCTACTCAATACTGTACCTATTAGTAAATTATAATCTATAGGTACCTACCCAATTAATATGCTTGCACATTGTGACCATAAAACATTTTGCGACAAAGATGATAAAAATATAGCCTTATTAATTTATTTTTATTCCTCCATCGGTGAAATTATTAAAAACAATTAATATGAAGAATTCAATTTTCCATTATTCCAGTACCTACATAGTACATACATACCTAATACCTATATGAGTAAGTACCTACTATACATATTATGTTATATAATAACATATAAAGTTATTTTTTTCTTTCACATTTCAGTTGTTAATTACATCATTTATATACATTTTTTACATATTATTTTAAGTTAATTAGGTATTATACATATTACATAAAGATTCAAAAAATACATCCTTTTGACACAATTATCTATGTTAAAATTAAAATTTAACCTCCAGCTAGGTAATAACCAACATATTCCTATAATGTAGTACCTAGTTTACCTATTTCTAAAAATGTAGGGTTAATTATTATGTTGTGTATTGTAGTTTGTAATTGAAGTAAACATTTAACAGAGTTATTGTATAATTATATAAATGTAAAATATATTGAAAACATCTATAAAGTTTCCAGAAATGTAGCTGAAACTAGTTAACAAAGTGTCCACTAGATGACTCTAGTTCCAACATGAGTTATAATGTTATTTTTGTTAATTACCAAGCATCAAAGTTATATTAACTCATTAGTCATTATTTATCTATAACCGAATATCGAAAACCATAGATGAGGTCTTACCGCAAGAGCAGGCAGGGTTTCGCCCACAACGAAATTGTTGTGACCAAGTCATGGCGCTAACCACTCACATCGAAAATGGCTACGATAAAAAACTAAAAACAGCTGTAGCTTTTGTCGATCTGTCCTCTGCTTACGACACAGTTTGGCGAAAAGGCTTATTATCTAAATTCCTCGATGTAATCCCCTGTAAAACATTACTCACACTACTTAACAATATGCTCAGTAATAGACAACTAACCGTCTACATAGGAGAGGAAAAAAGTAAGACGAGAGTGCTAAATAACGGCTTACCACAAGGATCGGTCCTAGCACCACTATTATTTAACCTATATACAAAAGATCTGCTTTCAACATCTTCCAAAAAGTTCATCTATGCGGATGATATAGCCCTGGCTAGTCAGAGTACCAGCTTTGAGGGACTAGAAGAGCCCCTAACCAACGACCTGAGTAAGTTAGACTCATATTTTAAACGGTGGAGACTAAAGCCCAACCCAACAAAAACGGAAGTAACAGTGTTTCATTTGAATAACAAAAAAGCTAGTCAAGAAATAAATATAAACTTTGGCGGTCAGGAAGTAGAATACTAAACACCCAAAATACCTAGGAGTGGTTCTAGATAGAACACTCACTAATAGAGAACACCTAACCAGACTATCAGCAAAAGTCAAGACCCGTCAGAGCATCATTTCAAAGTTACGTTACGTATAAGCACGCTATCATTAGTGTATTCTGCAGCTGAGTATTGTGCCCCTGTCTGGCTTAACAGCGTCCACACAAAGAACGTAGACAAACACCTTAATGCGGCTCAATTGGTGGGTTGACAAAGTCTACACCACTAAAATGGTTACCAGTGCTTAGTAACATTGCTCCGCCTAAGTTACGAAGAGAACATGCACTATTACAAGAATGGATAAAGTACGCTAATAACCCCTTCCTTCCCATACACACGGACCTGACTGCATTAGAAGGTGTTCAACGACTCAAGTCGCGTAAACCACCATGGAAAACAGCAAGGGATCTCACCAAAGATAAATTCAATATAAGTTCTAAATGGGAAAACGATTGGACAATAGAAAATCCAGATAACCAAAAACTGGTGACAAACCCAACTATCAAACAACCGGGATTTGACCTCGAAAGAAGTACTTGGGTAACACTAAACCGTATTAGAACTGGTCATGGTAGGAGCGGTCACATGATGTATAAATGGGGACTGCGTGACAATGAAACGTGTGACTGTGGTTATGAATCCCAGACGATCAATCACATCATCACTGAATGTCCAATTCACGCATTTAAAGGCACCATAGAAGATATCCACCTGATGAAGGAAGAAGCGGTGGAATGGATGAAGAACCTGGATGTGAAGCTATAGCATGACCCGTACATTCACCAAATGGGGAACCCCTTATCTATTTTATGTATTATGTTTTATATATTTTATGTTTTATGTTTTATGTTTTATGTTGAGTTTTATCACTGTTGACCATCTTTTTATTTTAATTATGTAGATGTTATATCTTTTAATATTCTAAGTGTTGTTGATGTTGCTCATTGACGCCATACGAAATAATAATAATAATTAGTCATTATTAATTTATACTGTCCATGTGTTTACTGTGTTTACTTAACTGGACTGGTGCCTCATGCTGATTATCCAAATGATAGTGAGTATATAATAAGAAACAACAAATTATACAGTTTAATACAATTATTTTTTAATGTATTTTTATTTCACCAGATTCTTAAAAAAGACGTAAAGTTGCTGTTGCATAACGGACAACTTTGTCGCTCTAACTGCCATAAGCAACTAATACATAGAACTCTATGACCACAAGGTATTAATGCGTGGGTCCTTGGGCCATCTCTACAAACCACACAAATTTCATCTTCATTACCCTGAGGAAGATTTGTCATTATATTTTCTGGAATTGGAGCATACGGCGCTTCGTGTTCGTGTACTTCTTCATTATCATAATTTTCCTCCCAGATGGCCAATTCTTCATCTTCGGGGATAATGAAGTCAGCTTCATTGTATTCTACAATTTCAGGAATTTCTGGTAATAAATTACAAATAAATTATGCAAATTATAAAATAAACATAGCTATTATACGGCAGTTAATACATACCTGAAATGAATAAAATCCTAATTTGTTAAAAGTTTTTAGAGGTAGGGGGACTTTAACCTCGGTAGATAAGTGCTATTACATTTTGTTTAGGCTGAAGTGCTTGATACTAATAAAATATTTGTAAAAGTAAGTTATGTTCAAAACACTTTCCCGCTTGACAATTTGGAGAGAATGCATACAATGAGAATACTACTTTTTAAACACTTACTCATTTGTGTAAGTATTACATATCTTAAGCAGTGGTGTATTGGAGGGTATACGCGGGTATACATCGTATACCCGGATCCCTATTTTTGGATTTATGCGTATACCTTTAACCCTTTATAGGTTAGTGGTTGTTCTAGAAGCCACTTATGTTTGTACGGTAGATGGGCAGCATAATATTAATGAATCACAAATGAATGCAACTGTGGCATTTATAGAAGCCACTTGTAAAATGACAGTGCATGGGCAGAACTATTTTTTTTTTGATAACATCAAATTAGCTAACTATTACCATTCTACTACTTGTTTGTAACATTTTTGTTTAAGGGAACATTGATGTATCATCAAAATCTTGCCCTGTGGGTGGTGGCTGAAATATGTGCCACCAAACTATAATGGAATATGAACTTTACTGGACTTAGAATTATTAGGATCTTTTAACTTTTTTCATACCTATAGCATACATTTAGAAAAATTAAATTACTATAAAATATAATTCAATCACAGTTTTTGCATGAAAAATACTCAACTAATAAAAATAATAATAAAATAATTCCAAATTATATTTTTAAAAAAAAAATCACTTGATTTTAAAACAACATTTTGAAAAATTCAAATAAAACAACAACCTAATATCAAATTTCTGTATTATGAAAAAATATAAAAAAAAAATACATCACTTCTTGAATAAAATAACATGATAACAATTTTTCAGACTTTTGAAAAAATATAAAATAAAAACATCACTTCTTAAATAAAATAACATTATAACAATTTTTCAGACTTTTGAAAAAAATATAAAATAAAAACATCACTTCTTGAATAAAATAACATTATAACAATTTTTCAGACTTATAAAAATTATATACTTTTTAGAATTACATTCTATAAACTTTTACAAAATAAATAATACTAAACAAATTCAAATAACATTATAACAATTTTTCAGACTTTTGAAAAAAATATAAAATAAAAACATCACTTCTTGAATAAAATAACATTATAACAATTTTTCAGACTTTTGAAAAAAATATAAAATAAAAACATCACTTCTTGAATAAAATAACATTATAACAATTTTTCAGACTTATAAAAATTATATACTTTTTAGAATTACATTCTATAAACTTTTACAAAATAAATAATACTAAACAAATTCAAATAACATTATAACAATTTTTCAGACTTTTGAAAAAAATATAAAATAAAAACATCACTTCTTGAATAAAATAACATTATAACAATTTTTCAGACTTATAAAAATTATATACTTTTTAGAATTACATTCTATAAACTTTTACAAAATAAATAATACTAAACAAATTCAAATAACATTATAACAATTTTTCAGACTTTTGAAAAAAATATAAAATAAAAACATCACTTCTTGAATAAAATAACATTATAACAATTTTTCAGACTTATAAAAATTATATACTTTTTAGAATTACATTCTATAAACTTTTACAAAATAAATAATACTAATCAAATTCAAATAACATTATAACAATTTTTCAGACTTTTGAAAAAAATATAAAATAAAAACATCACTTCTTGAATAAAATAACATTATAACAATTTTTCAGACTTATAAAAATTATATACTTTTTAGAATTACATTCTATAAACTTTTACAAAATAAATAATACTAAAAAAATTCAAATAACATTATAACAATTTTTCAGACTTATAAAAATTATATACTTTTTAGAATTACATTCTATAATCTTTTACAAAATAAATAATACTAAAAAAATTCAAATTTTTATTCATAATTGACTGGTGTAGAAACTAGAAATTTTATTGTGAATGAAAAGGCAAAAAACAATCCAAGCAAAGAGCAACCTCACATTCCTGGCAGTGGATTTTTGATCTTTTGACATTTTTTTTAGTACTACAAAGCCTACAGCGATTATATTTTCCAGCAATAGGCATGTGATTACCCACATTTTGGAGTCTGCTATTATTTCCTGCTAATATAATACGGCCCCTTCCAACATCTGTGGGCTTTCTTTTAGTTGAAGGGATAACTTTTTTAGGTAAAAAAGCTTTTCTGTTACAAAATTGCCCAATTAACTCATCAGCTAATAAAGAACGATACATTAAATGAGTCAAAGGTTTCTCTCTGTTTGAGGTTAGTTTAACAGTTGTAGTATACATTATATATGAATTAACAATAGTGGCATCACAAAAATAATAAAAGAGCTTCATCCACCATCTTCGAGACTTCCAAGTTATATTGTAGCATTCTAGTAGTTGATCAAAATGATCAACTCCGCCCATATACTTATTATAGTCAGCAATACTTTTAGGACATTTAACATCTTCTCTAATACCAACATTATTTTTTCTCTTAACCACTGTAATATCTTCTCCCTTATGAATAGATGATACTACAACTACAGGTTTTTTCCCTCTGTCCATCCACTTATATACTGAAATTTCTCCTGATGAAGCAAAATCATAATCACCCATACTAAGAGATTTATCTGCTTTTAATAAAGTTTTAGGAAAATATTTTCTATTTTGTAACATAGTTCCACAAGCAAATATTTTTCTTTTTAGTAATTCTGAAACAAGATTTATGCTGGAAAAAAATCTGTCAAAAAATACACAATATCCTTTATCTTGATAGTTATTAGTCATTTCCAGTACTGTCTTTTCACCTAGAGATCCTTTTTCCTTAGAATCTTTTTTTCCTTCATATATAATAAATTTAAGTAAGTAACCAGTTATTGCACAACATATAGCCCATATCTTAAATCCTCTTTTTACTGGTTTCATTGGCATATATTGCTTAATTCCAGACCGCCCTTTAAATCCAACCATACTCTCATCACAACTTAAATTCCTATCAGGAGAAAAACTTGTACAATAAACATTATTTAAATGGTCTATCATTGGACGAATTTTGTACAATTTATCAAATGTAGAACTTTCCCTTTTAGGCATTTTACTATTATCATTTAAGTGTAAATATCGTAATATATTTAAAAATCTTTTTTGGGTCATAATGTTTGATATTCGGTGATTATAAAAATTTTCATTTGCACTCCAATAAAGGCGTAAACTTAGTAATCTATGAAACCCCATTATTATAAGAATACCCAAAAAAGCTTTAAATTCAATAATAGATAAATTTAAATTTTTGCCACATTGGTTTGAGTACAAGTTAGATTGGTCAACAATATATTGATAAAAATCAGAAAAATATATATCAAAGTTTTGCATTGGTGATTTAATGTCTACTAACACATTAGGTCCATAAAATTCATTAAAATCAAATGAGTCATAAGATAATGATGTAAGAGGTTGGTCTTTTGAAAAACTAAATAATATGTTATTTTCATTATTATCTTCTATATAATTAGAATCATCATCTGAATTTTCAATAAAATCAACTAAGAGGTCCATATTTTCTATATTTAATGGTTCAGATATATTTAACATATTATTCTCATTGTCACTATTTTCTGCTAATATATTATCATTTGTATCTATATGTGGAATCGGTTCATATGAAGGATCAAAATCACTGTCATCAACTTCAGAGCCAGATGAGCTTTGTAGGGCATTGCTATTAATTGCAGATTTTAATTTCCTGGATCTAAGTCTTGATAATTTAGGCACTTCTGAAGAAATGGTTGATAAATTAGAGTCATCATGTGAATTAATATTACATGAGGAAGATGAGAGAGGGCTTGTAGAAGGACCACCATTAAATGCATTTTTTCTTTTACTACCTCTGGTTGTACTAGTTGGTGTATTACTTGCACTTGAAACACAAAGCACATCTTCGGCATCACTGTCGCCTCCAAAGTCTGAATCAAATGCCCGCTGGTCTGAAATACCATTTAATATTTCCAAAATGTCAATTTGTGACACGTGTGGCATTTTTATTCAGAAGCTACAACAAAAAATAATTACCTATATAAAATACAACTAATATAATAAAAAAAAATATGTGTATAACTACATTTTTGTTATCAATAAATGTCAACTATTTGCACTATATCTTCTTTGCGCAAATATTAACCTCGGAAAATATTATACCATTAAAAACAATAGATTGTAACGAGTCCAATGGTGTATAAATTACTAATATAATTTTAATTTATAATATAATACTCAACAATCTAAAATAAAATTTTTTTGAAAAATATTTTTTTTTATACTTTTATCGAATGTAAAAATACTATAAAACCATTGATATCGATAATTTATGATATATAACCTATGTAAAATTGTATAAAGAATTATAATATGTACTTACTTGATTGATTATACGTTGTGGTAAATGGTAGTCACACTAATTTCGTAAAATAATTTTAAAATTTGAAATGTTAACAAGTTTTAACGATTAGTGGCTTGTACACAAGCCACTTTTGACAATAATGATTATCAATACGGTTATCACCATTATAATATTAAATAATTGTTGAACACATGTTATTATGTTATCATTCTATCGTAATTGATAAGCAAAACAAAAATTGATTTATTTTTATGGCGGTTTTTATATTGATAATAAAGTGGCTACTATCTATGCCACAGTTCCGTTAAACTATAATTAACAAAAATAATTTTGATCATACGGGTCTCTTCAATGGTGGCTGATATGGAGGCCACAGTTGTCTTATTTGTCGTATTTGAAAATTAGGTTTGCCCGTTAAAGGGTTAAGAAAATTAGTCTTTTATGGGTATACGCACGCTTCTAATTTATCATCAGACAATTTAGGCATATTATCACCAAACAAAAGTAAAAACTTAAAAATAATAACCTAAATTATTAATACAATTATATTTTATTATAACATAAAGTGCACTGTCCAAAAATACTAAAAATAGCCCCGTACCCGCATGAAGTTCGATTAAATTTTACCCGACGTTTTCTTGCGAAGACGATCGGAAACTGCCGAGCAATACAATCAATCAATGTACAGCGGTTCCCAAACTGTGTACCTACTAAAGTTTCAAAAATATATTGTAGGCCCCTGCTTTATCGTATATACATACACTGAATCGGTCGCGGTATGCCGTGTATGGTTAAGGCTCTACGTACCATGGGTATGCTATGCCACCATTTTGCGACTCTTTTATCAATGATCAAATGATAAAATAAAGGGGGAGAAATTCATAGATAATATAAGAATATTATCTTAGGAACAAGTCTAGTTTACCGGGCACATTTTTTTTTGAAATTTTTTTTTTTGAAAAGGGTTGTTTTGAACGATGGTGCAAAAATAAAATTGCGGAAATGATTATTTTGGAAGTTATAGCTTCCCAAAGTTAACGATTTTACGTTTCTACGCGTGCGCGCAACACTACTATAATGCCGCGCGGAGGACCTCGAGTTTGGCGACCGTTTGGCAACCCTTTTAAAAAAAAAATTTCAAAAAAAAAAGTGCCCGGTAAACTAGACTTATTATACCATGAAATTGAATTAATTAAAAAAAAAATAATACATTGATACTTGGTACATATTATACACAGTGGAGTATATATGAATTAATTTTATGGTTGGGGGGGAATATAGGGTGAACTGGGGGGGCGTATATAGGGGGGTATATACGCCACCGCATATACATATACACATGAAGAGTAAGTGTTTGTAATAAAGTAATAAAAGATTATTAAATACAAAGTGTACCTAATAATTTTTTGAGTGGAGCAAGAAAATTTTTAAGGTAGGTATATCGTATATATAGGTATATACTATATTCAACTACTTTTAGGTGCGTATACCCATCAATTTATTTACCAATACACCACTGATCTTAAGACCTTATTATAGGACCATAGTGAGTATGTTATATTGGTTTAAACCTTTGAGAATTATATTTTTAATACCTTCCAAGAAACTCACAGTATATTAAACAATATTATATAGGTAGGTATGCATTTTCAACAACATACAGGTGTATTGATTTTGGTATATTTCAATACATTTCATTTAAATTCTGTATCTAAGTCCAATTTATAGTATGTGTGTATAATTAATTACCTATGCCAATAATTATATTTATATTTACCAGACAATTATATTTGTATGTATTTTATACTGTCGCGAATAATGTAATGAGTTATATACCATGTATTTAGTATCTATCTAAATCTAGCAGAGGGCCAGGGTAAACAAGTACTCCCCAACATTTTATTTTGCCCCCCTTTAATTTAATGTTGAACATTTTAATCTAATCTGAAAATGCATTTTATATAGAGCATTTTATTAAATACTATAATATATAATGTAATATAATACAATCCTAATAATTTTTAATTATTTATATTCATTTAATACTAATAAGTAGGTAATAACTAATAGCTTGTTGATGTTTAGATCTAATCATAATCTTTATATTTAAAAATGAATTGCTGTTCGTTTGTCTCGCTAAAACTCGAAAACGGCTGGACCGATTTGGCTCAAATTTTAAGGAAAATCAACCGGAAAAGTAGGAAGTCTGGATGAAAAAAATACAACATGGTGCAACAGTGTATTATAATTTATATTGGTTGCTATTGGTTAATCGGGCATGTTTGTTGATTTGCATTATTTTTTTTTGTCAATATATAATATATATAAATAAATGAATGTTTGTGTGTAGATTAGACCTCCGGGAAGAAGACAGGCTAATTTAAAAATGGTTAAATTTGGTTTTTTTTATTCATCTGATATTAGTACGGTTAAGATTTTGTATTAACAAATTATATTAATCCACCATAAGTGGAATACAACAAACTTGGTATAACTTTGATAGTTAAGTTAAATCATACACTTACGTACAAACATCAAGGGGTCCGCGATCTACCGCAGGTAGATTGCCTACCTGATAATATACTGAATAATAATAATAATATTCAGAATTATTATTATTATTCCGGGCAACGGAATAGTTAAGATACATTTTGAACACCATACACTGAATATTAAATAACGAATTGAACAAAGTTTGAGTCATATAGATTTGGTACATTTTAACGGGTAACAAAGTACACGGGATTAGCTAGTAATTAAATAAAATAAATAATTCAAATATAATACATTGTATTTATTGATTTTTATTTTAATAGGTAATAACAAAATGTTGCTATTTAGATACTTAAAAATCCCTCTCTGTATTTGTTTAATTGCAATGAACATAAAATATGAATGTGCATATAAAAGATTAGTACCTATCATAAGTCAGATAACCTTATTACAAGTCAATATGAAAGGTAGTATAAGTATTTAGGTTATACCTTATACCCTCTTAGGATTCCATTATGTTAAAAATATGTAAGTAAATAAAAACATTTTATCAATTAATTATTTACCTAATTACTTTTTTTTATTATTTAGAAATATAGCATATTATACCCGAAATATTTTTAACTATACCTTCTGAATATATGATATAAGCAAATTACTGGGTGTTCAAGTACCTAGCAATATATAAATTCCCCAGCAGAAAAAAATTTGCCCCCGTAACGCCTCCCCCCCAATCAATAATATCTGCCCACATAGCAAAATTATGTTTTCTAGTTATTTTTAAAAAATGTTTTGGAAAGTGATTGATATTTTACAAACATCGTTCTATCATCAACCAATATTTTCTATGTGTTTTAAAAACGTTTTTTGGCCGGAAAAAATAGTCATCAAAATATTTTACTTTGCTTTTCAAAATATTTTTTAAATTATATTTAAAATATTTCTAAACAGATGTTTTCAAAATATATTTATAAGATATTTTTAAAATGTAATACAATTATGTTGATAGTATTTTTAATTTATTTTATAAATATTAGTCTTGGTTGTTATAATACTCGATTTTTCACACATTTGGTTAGAATACATACTATATACCAGCTATTTCCACCTGTCTTGAAAAGAAATCTTGTTTAATTCATGTTTGAACAATAACATAATCAATAAATATATTAATTAATAATTTTATCGATATTTGACATAACTTTATTTTCCTATTAAATATTTAATATTTCAAAGAAATAGGAAATTATAATCATTACAGTATGCTAATGATTAATTCATAAACATGCATATGCATAAATAAAACATTCTTAAGAAAATATACAGACCCAAAAAAGAAATATTTATAGGATCTTACATTAGATTTAAATAAAATTTAACAAGACAAAATAAGACACTTTGGAAAGGAGGATACGCTAGACCAAAAATTATAATTAACCAGATCAGATTATGTGTAATAGAAATGCACTGCATTACTATTTCAGATATCTACTATCCATTTATATGGTTAATACATAATGGCTGACAGGCAGTAATAAACAGGCTTCTAAAAAAATAAAATATTCAAAGAAAAACATCCAGTTGGGTTAGAATACTAAATATATATTTATATTATAGTAGTATATAATTAACAATTAAGTACCTATAATAGAAATGCTAATATTATTTAAATAAGTAACTCAATATATTTTGATTTGTGTACAAAAAAAAAATAAAAATAAAAAACTGTTTAGGTTAAATAATTAACACATTATATCTTGATTTGTGTAACAAAAAAAAATTAAAAAAATTCTTCATAGCAAGTTAGTGTACAAAAAAAAAAATTAATATAACAACTGTTTAGGTTAAATAATTAAAACAATATATCTTGATTTGTGTAACAAAAAAAAAATTAAAAAAATTCTTCATAGTAAGTTAGTGTACAAAAAAAAAAATTAATATAACAACTGACTGTTTAGGTTAAATAATTAACACAATATATCTTGATTTGTGTAATAAAAAAAAAAATTAATATAACAACTGACTGTTTAGGTTAAATAATTAACACAATATATCTTGATTTGTGTAATAAAAAAATTCTTCATAGTAAGTTAGTGTACAAAAAAAAAAAAATTAAAATAACAACTGTTTAGGTAACTAAGTAATA